TCTCCCCACAGCTGTCTGGCCCTCCCCAGTCCCTCTCCCAGGAAAATAAAACCTGCATGTTGATAGGGCTAGTGTCAGAAGCTAGGGCTAGTGTTACCCTGCTGGAGAAACTGATCAGAGCTTTCAAGGCAGGAGAGGTTTTACTGGACTGGATATTTGCCCTGGTGTTTTTAGATGAACTGATAAGAGCAGGATATTCTGAAAGTAAAAAACTCTCCTCGCGAGGACCAAGCCACAGAGATAATTTATTGATTACTGATCACAACTGTTCCCCCAAAGCCACAGGTATCTAGATCATTTCCCTAAGACCACGGATGGCTTCAGGGAGTCCTATCTCCTTAGTTGTGGAAACCTCATGCACAGCCCTGCTCTCAGAAAAGCATAGACTTTGCTCTGGACCTCACAAGATGATTTCCACTGGAACTTTAGGTGCCTTACTTAAATGGGCAGGGAAGCTTCAGTGGATTTTCATTCAGTTCTTTCAGCATTTTCATGTATGTTTAACTCTGAGCTGGGGTAGCAGCAGATCTGCTTAAAGTGCCAGGGAAGGTAGACAGCAGAGTAGATTTGGGCAAAGTGAAAGCTATGGGATTTGAGGAAGGCAAAATGGCCCAGGGCATTAAGTCAACTGATCTGGCATGAGATGCTACACTGGGCAAATAAATGCTGCCTTGCCTCTTATTCAGCAAAGAGAGTGCAGGGCTGGGTCAAAGGCAGTGGGCAGAAGGGAAGGAGGAGCCCTCATGGACGCCAGGGTCAGAAGTTTGCACAGGAACCTCCTGGAGGTGGGAGAAGAGCCCAACCACGGCAGTATGAAGAGAGCGATAGCACTAAGTGAGGTCTCGAGGGGGCCGCAGCCATTGTGGGGGAGCAGCAGTGGATATGGTGTCCCTCCTCTCCCCGGCTGCAGCTGCTCTGGCCAGGTGCCTCCTTCCCCCCAACAGTCCTGGATTTCCAGAGAAGTGAAGCATCAGGGGACATGGGGCCAGGGGCGGGCAGGATTCAGGCGGGGCTCAGGGTCTCAGCAGGAGCCGTGTTCCCGGCCACTTGAGCCATAGGAAGGGAACCAGGCGCCGGGTGAAGGTGGTGGTGAAGGTGTAGATAAGTTCTTGTGACTCTGCATTGGTGAAAGTCACGGTGCCCCCCTCATAATCCAGGGCGATGCCTACTCTCCGGGGCCGCAGCGCTGGAAAGAGCTCAGCCTCGGGGTTGGTGTTGGCCCAGATGCCCGAGGAGGAGAGGCGCAACGCCCATACCCCGTCCTCCGGCCGCAGGGAGAGGTCGCCCTTCCTCTTCACAGAGTCTCTGGCCACCCCCACCATGCAGCTTTCCAGAACTTCTTCCTCCTCCTCCTCTTCCTCCTCTTCCTCTTCGTCCCCCAGTGACTCCTCATCCTCATCTGTCTCCCAGGACACAAACCCCCCATAGCCAGCCTCCTCCTCCTCCTCCTCCTCTTCCCCCTCTTCCTCCTCGTCCCCCTCCTCTTCATCCTCAAACCAGCCCTCCCTTTCCACCTCCACTTCCCAGTAGACCTTGCCCCAGGTGAAGCCCTTATTGCCCAGCACCCCTGGCTCACAGTCAAACTGCTGGGGGTGCAGGTAAACACTATGGTACAGGCCACTGTAGGTCACACATTTCCAGTCCTCTGACAGCTGCAGGTATCCGCTGGCCGACTGTGGGTCCAGGGTGACACTCACTGTGGGAACAAAAGAAGTAACAGTGTCACCAGTGGGCCAGGAGGGGCCACTAGTCTCCATGGTGTCCATGACAGGGCTGTGACACTATACAATCCAAGGGGTGCTATTCACATCTTAGTCCATATTTCTGGGGTCCTTCAGGGGTATGCAGTGCACAATCTTACAGCCAGAGGGGGGTGGGAAGCACAGATGTTCAGCCTGAAGCAGATATGGCCTCTGGCCTCAGGATGCCATCACAGCTGGCTCTGAATACAGGAGACATGTGACCAGGCAAATAAGGAGAAACTCAGTCATAGGAAAGGGATTGGTGGCAGGACCTATGAGGACAGTATAACTAAACACGGGACACAGAAGGGCCAGAATATCATGTGGAGACCTCTACTGCAGAATGAAGAGTAGTAAACTGATCAGAAAGTGCAAGGTGGGGGCTTGAGATTTGCATCTGGGAAATTCTCCCTGTGGCGTGAGAAGGAACTCCCCAGGAACACTAGCGGGCGGTTACAATCTCCATGGGGAAAATATTCCTTATTTGAGCTAAATCTGGGAACAACCTTTTGGATACTCACCCGTCTTATATTCCAAATCTCTCAGCAGCTTCCCTGGAGAAAAAAGGACAGCAATGACCGTCAAGCTCAGCAAATTTACAGGCTCATTTCTTACTCAGAAAGTATCAATTTCATGACGGGGTTCCATCCCTGAGATCCCAAGAAAACAATTAGGATACCCTCAGAGGACTGAGGGAGGAGAATCTAACAGCAAGGAGCCTGGTACCATCCCTCAAAGTGCCACCCTACCTCCTGACTCCCACCCCAAGGCTCTCCCTAATCCTTACCTTGGAATTCTCTCAGGCCTCGCTGCAGAGACAGAAGTTTATCTGAGAATTCCCCTGTCCTTTTTTTAACCACTCGAGCAATGGGTTTCCCAATCCAGAACTTCTTCCGTGGATATCTGAGAAGATGACAGACATAACCTTAGCTCTTCTTACATTTCTCTCAATCTTTATTACAATTATGAAAGGGGATAGTAAGGTACAATTACTCCCTGCCGATAGGGGACAAAGACACTAAGCAAACTGCTCCAGGCTGAGCCGGGACTTGGAACCATTGGCAGACTCAACATCCAGAACACTTTAGTCAGCTAAGACACTTTTCTACTCTCGCCACCTGTCTCATCTCATACAAGGAGAGTAAGCTAAGGTGCTGAGATTCTACAGAGAACTTGCTCCAGTGTACAGTAAGTCTCCAGTTCAAGGATGTGTTTTTGCTTCCCAGGACAGAAGGTCATCAAGAGGAACCATGGGATGTGGGCACCTCTGGCACCATATTACTCTCCATTAATTCAAATGGGTCATGGTCAAGGAAAAGGGGAGGGGACACAAGCACAGAGGAATGAGGTATACTGAGGAAAGGAATCTCTTTTACCTGTTTAAGAAGTCTCTGGTGTCCTGAGAGGGAAGAAAGCACAAGTATCAATTTAAATCAAAGAAGACTTCATCCATATTTACCAACACTGTATTAGAGACCGGGGATGCATCATGAACAAAACAAACACGGTCCCTTCCTCATGGAGCTGACATTCTAGTGGCAGCACTGGATAAACAAAAATAAGAAAACAAAGTAATCAATGACAGAGCAAATGGCGGTTGGGAGATAGGCAGGAGGTGACAGGCCAACTTCTCTGAGGTTATGACACTTGTGCTGCGATTTGAAGGAGAACGTGCTAGTCAGGTGAAGAATGGGAAGGCGGCGAGGTGGAAGAGCTTGGCAAAGGAAGGCAGAGGTCACATCATGCAGGGCTAAACAGGCATAGTAAGGAGTTCAAATTTCGTTCCATGTACAGTAGTAAACCACCAAAGGGTTTCAAGTAGGGAAGTAGTATATGTGATCTGCTTTCAGTGGCTGTGACTACTAAGTATATTCCAGGATCCATTCTCTCCTTCTTCCTGTTAATAATAGAACCCCTGGAGTAACAGCTGGGCTTTTTGCCACATTTCCCAGATTATCTTGTAACCAGGTCTGGTCATGAGACAAAGCACCAACCAGTGGGATGTAAAAGGAATTAATGACTACAGTTTTGGGGTCAGGTCCTTTAAAAAAAGGAAATTGCTTTCTAATTCCTCTTTTTCCTTGTCTAAAATTTGGATACGGTGGTGGTGAGCCCAACTTCAACTACACAACTGAAGACAACATCCCTTGAAGTTAGTGGAACAACTAGATGGAACCACCAGTGGAATAACCTGGCTCTCTGAATGACCTCACGAACAACCACCCTGACAGCTTTAGACCCGCCAACTCTGAACTGTTACTGAGAAAGAAATAATCTGTTTTATTTGAATCACTGTACTTGAGTTTGATATAATAGCTGACCAAAATCCTAAATGATCAATCACTTGGCTATCATTTAGAGCAGCAGTCCCCAACCTTTTTGGAACCAGGGACCAGTGCTCCTAAAAGAATCTAATGCCTGATCTGAGGTGAAGCTGAGGCAGTGATGCTAGTGCTGGGGAGAAGGTGCAAATACAGATGAAGCTTCGCTCGCTTTCCCGCCACTCACCTCCTGTTGTGCCTAACAGGCCACGGACCAGTAACTGTCTGCGGCCAAGGAGTTGGGGATCCCTGCTTTAGAGCATGGATTAAAGGAGGCAAGGTGAACATGCAGGGGGCCAGCCTGGAGGCTATTGCTGTAGACCAGATAAGAGATAAACGGCCTGAAGCAGCAGTCACAGCAGAGACAGAGAACAGGTATGTTTGAGACAGACCTGACTAGGAGAAGTGGTGACAGATAATCAGGACAGGCCATGGCTTGAGTTGGAGGAAGAATGGTGATGCTATCTGTATGACAGGGACAGAGAGGAATGTGAAGGGGGTTCTTGTGAGATGCTGGTTATCTCCCTTTTGTGAGCCTAAAGCCTCCATAATACTTTATATTAATTTTTGCCTTCCTTTCACTCATATACAAGTATCAGTTAAGTGCTTCCTACATGCCAGACACTGCTCTAGAAGCCTGGGATGAAAAAAAAAGAGAGAGATATAAATCCCTACCCTTGTTAGAGCTGACCTTCTAGCAGAGAGAAGTAGACAGCAAACAATCGACATAAAACAATACATTATATCATGTTATTATGTGATGAGTATTACAGGAAAAAAAAAGAACAGAATTAAGAAGGACTGGGTGGGGGCTGGCTTCTTTGAGAGTGAGATGTGAGAAACAAATAGAATCCCCAAATTGTGGCTGCTGATGACCGTGTCAGAAAAGTCTCAGGAAGAATGCCAGGCTCTACTCTAAGAAGGATATTTAAGAAGTCAGAGCTACACCCTGCCCCTACTCTGAAGCAACTGCTCAGACACAGTTGAGTTTTTGGTAAATCCTTCTAATCTGTCCCCCAAAATAAGTAAATTCAAGCCAGCTTGAGGACTGCATGACAAATCTTGAGGCAGTGCATGCCAGTAAGTCCACTGAGATTTGTGCCATAAAAGGGCAAATAAATGGACAGTGGGTGGGGTGGGAGTTAGGGAGCCAAGAGAGCATATTCTGTGACATGGGACTCGCTAAAATGGTGGAGAGAGAGAATGAGAGCCGTCTAAGGGATAAAAATTGTGAGCATCTCAGAGAGGGTGGGACCCAGAGACCAGTGCAGGAACACTTCTCTCAAAGGACAAAGAAGGGGAGCCCAGGAAGTCCCAAAGTAACCTGAAGCCACACACAAGCCTCCAGAAGAAGTAGCCCACCCAGAGACTCCTGTGCCTATCATGAAACAAACGATCAGAGCAGAGAGGCTAGGGCAACGAATCGTGGCACTCTCAGCACAGGACCTGCCTGGGTACTAATGAAGAGCACTCATGAAGGGGGTCTTCACAGGTTAGGATGGCAACCAACACTGGGTGAGACAGAGGTGTGGCCTGCCACCCGACCCTGCATGGTCCATCCAGGGCTAAATCAGGGAGGATGTCAGTATCTCTTTAGCTTCTATCTGTCTCCTTTAACATCTTCATGAGATTCCCAGTCCAGAGAACTTTCTTTCCTTTTGTATCCCTTGTCAAACAGTCTGTTTTATGTCTTTTGTCATGCTGCATCTCCCTTTCACCTGTATTTCTCTACAGGACTTTTGGATCAGAGCCCCTACCTTAATAGGATCTCATTCTTTGTGTCCATTGACAGTAATCTCTGGGAAAATATTAATGACAATTAAGGACTTAGCTGTCCAGTTTCCTTGCAGCAAAATCAAACTCAAACAAACAAAAAACCCACCAGTACCAATATTTCATGTACTGGTTTTAAGCAGACAGTCAACTCTCTCTCCCTTCCCTCCTCCCATCCCACCCCAGGGACGTCTTCAATCTGAGCAGTCTTGGAGGCTGGGCCACTGCTGGCCCACGCAGCTCCGTTGGGTAGACTGGTGAGAGGTTCTCCTCAGGGAGGACATAAATGCATTTCAGGCCCCGCCAGCACCCCGTCATGTCCCTCTCTGCTCTACACATAAGTGCATATCCACCTAGTGGAGGCCATGGCAAAAAGAAAGATGCTTGTCCTTGAAGGGAAAGAAGAAGAAGAGCGGGGAGGGGAAAGGAAGCAAGTGACCCAGTCAGAGTCTGCAAGAAATCCAGAAGGAACAGAATGACATCTGGAAGAAAGGACGGAGCCAGAGACATACTGGATAAAATGAGAAAAAAGAATAAGAAAACAGAGGCCTGGGAGTGAGGACACCTGGGCTGGAACTTTGACTCAATTCCTGACCTGCCTTCCACTCTCTGGCCCTCAGTGACTTCGTCAGTGATTCTAAAATCTCTGGGAGTCCTGAGTAGTGAGTCTGAATCCACAACGATGGAGAGGTAACCGAGGCTACCTCTTTACGAGGCCTGTGCTAACGCAGATACCTTGAGAACTTGCCTTGCCATCTCTCTCCAGCTATCAGTTTGCCCTACTACTGGGCCAGGATAGCATTTTCAGCAGCTGACTGACAGGCCCAGCCACCCCAACCCATGCAAGTGGAGGAGATCATCACATAGGCCTTCTCCTGGCCCACAAGGGCAGAAAAGTGAAGCGTGCTCCCTCAAAAGGCTGCTGGGCCCTGTTCAGCATGGTATGACTCTTCGGAGAACCTGTTTCTCCAGTCTAAAACTTTGTCTTTCTCAGCATCAAAGTTGTCTCTACCAGAAAGCATTCCAGAAGCAATTAACCTGTTTTCCATCTTTTTCCCTGAGGGTAATTCCACAGTCCCAGAGAAAACCTCACCCACTCTGTCCCCCTTCCCCAGGTGCCTATCTCCTGTTGACTCTCTGGGTCTCTGAGAGAAGCTGCTGTTCAGCCCTCCCTTAGCCACCCCCAACCACTACAGCCTTGTCATTTTCAGAACCATAAAAAGCTTCCACTGGATAAGTGTCTGCCAGTGACTTGTTAGCAGACAGGCTCATGACGGTAGTGATAAAGACAGAAAATAGTAATGAAAATACTACTAACCTTCCATTTCTACAGCACTTTTTAATATTTTAAACTTTTTTTTGTAGAAAATTTACTTTTTGAAGTGACACCATGCCAGTCATCTCATTGTATACTCATGCAATCACTGGAGTAAGTGGGGCGGAACAGGATCATCACCCCCATGTTTCAGAAGACAAAACTGAGAACCCAAGAGGAAGTGACTCTCCCAAGGTCATGCAAGTGAGTGGCAGGGTCAGGACCTACTGTCCTGGTCTCTAGGCTCCCTGCCCTGGGGAAGGTCTCTCACCTGCATGAGCTCTGCAGCCGGCCGCTGGGCCTTGCCTTCCAGTTCGGAGATGACCAGCGCCAGGCGGGCAAGCTCCCCGACGCCCCTGGTCTTGTGCTTCTCCCTGCCCTCTGTGAGCTCCTGCTCCAGCTTTGTCAGCTGGTCCAGCAGGTGCTGCTCCCGCTCCCTCAGGAACTGGTGGCCCTGCTCAAACGCAGCCACGATGCACTGCCTCTGGTCCTGGAGCTTCTTCTGCAGGGTGGGGAAGGAGAGAAGGGGGTGATGCCTCCACCTCCAGGATCTGGTGTTAGAGGCACACAAGGCCAGCTCTTCTCCCCTAGCTACTCTCATTCATAAATTCTACAGTGTTTAGAGCATTCCTGTGCCAACCTCCTTTCCTCGAAGAAGACACAGTAAGTAATTAGCACAGTTCTCTCAGCCGCCATGGGACAGGAACCCTAATTCTGCCTTACTGGTCAGCCCATTATCTGTTCTAGGTAAACCAGTATAAACCTGGGCCCTTTGAGGAACTCTGAGCCAACACAGTTTTTCCTCCTGGACACCAATCTCTGTATGTCACCTGTTCTAGGAAGCTTTCCTTGATTAATCTCATCGAAGCCTGACCAATCCTCTCTTCAGCAACCCTTATTATGGATAAAGTATCTGTGTGTACCCCATCCTAGCCATGTAGGACTGGAACCGGTTCCCATGGTGAAACTGTAGAATGTCTGTGCTCACGGACCATGACCTTTCCTGTCTCCAAATTTCACTGCCGAGTCCAGGCTAGGATCTGGTCAGCATTCTTGGTCCCCTTGTTGGCTGATGTTGGGCTGGCGGCGTCCATGCACACTGAGGGCCTGGAGGCACTCCTTGAACTTGAGCATCTCCTGCTTCAC